TATATAAATATATATATTTTTTTACTTCCACTAACCACAGCCCGGGGGAGGGGTTGCAATTTTTTACTCCCAGCCAGGACAGGGACATTGCTTTCTACTCCTACTGACAATAGTCTACTTCCCAAACAGTTTGACAGAGAAGGAGAAGGGAAGCAGCTGCATGGAACTGTACAGGGACAGATGCACGGCCCTGAATGCAGTCTGTCTGTGTCCAGATCCATGCATTCATCCCTATACAGATATCAACACTGGGATGTGTGTGAAGATCCATGCAGCCGTAGCCTGTCATTGATTTTTAGCAGGCTGCAGGAAACACCTGTGCCTCCCTGGGTAAATTAATATGGATCCCTGCATGGATGGACAGCTCAAGTAAACAAGCTTTTGCAAAGAATCCATTATAATCTCTTCTTTCTGAACATAAAGTAAGACCTCATCCACTAGATTATATAATTACAAGTCCTCTCGTTACCTCTTTTGCTGCTTCTTTGCACTTCTGAATTGAGATTTCATCTGGTTCTCCTTGGTACTCAGGTACTGGAAAGTAAAATAAATGCTTCATGTGACATACAGATATGTCACTATTATTTCTACATACTATATAAGGCTACATTCACATTTGAGCGTCTGCGTCTTTCGTCACTTGTGTTTGTTTTGAGAACTTGTACATGCGTATTTAATGCGTTTTCAAGAAGCTCGAGCACTTTTGTTTTAGCCAATGGAAAGCTCATTACTAGAAGGAGGAGACAGCTGTAAGGCTCAAAAAATGCGCATTACGCTAATTTTTCAGGGTCCAAAGCATGTGATCATTCCCCAAAGACGCTCCTTTTTCTCAGCATTGAGTGACAGCACATCGCTCAGATGTGAATGGGCACAATAGACTAACAAGGAAATCTGAGTGTTAGGCACTGAAGTGCTTCTGGAAATGCGCTTCAAATCACCAATGTGAATGGGGGCTGAAGGTACTTACAATCAATCTTTTTTGCCACTAATTTACATGGAAACTTGTCTCCGAGGATCTGGACAACCTGTGTATAATATAAATAAAAAAAAAGAACAATTGAGCTATTATATAGTTGTTCAAATACAAAGAAAACGCAGAGTACCAAAATACATATAGGAAGTTTAGAGAAGAACTTGGGGCTAGGTCAGGAAGTAAGGGTTAGTTCACACCAGAAACTGCATCACAACTGCGTGCGTCTGCGCAGTTGCATTGCGATCCGTTTTGATGCGTTTTTGATCCCTGCATGATGCCACAATCAATTCTGGTTTTTTATGTATGCAGTCTGTTGCGTTTTAGTGTGCTTTGATGCGTTTAGTGCAGTTAGATGCAGGTAAAATAGGACAAGCAGTTCTTTTTCTGACTGCAGTTGAATGGACTGCAATGGTGTGAAATAGGCACAAGAAAGCCCATAGGAAAGAATTGGGATGCATTTTAACTGCAGCAGTTGAAATAAACGGACTGCATCACAACTGCATATGGTGTGAACTGGCCCTAACAGTACATTTGCCACAACATTTAAACATATAATTAATTTTGATGGCTTTTTTGGTTTCCTTTTTTTTTTATCTCCGGGGATCCTAGCATCTAGACACCAACAAGCAGTTAACCCTTTGCAGTGCGAGGGTAGTCCCACTGCAAGGGTTAATTAAATGTTTCCCCGGAGTTATTCTTTAACAAATATGTGACTATAACTACAGGTGAAACTCGAATAATTAGAATATCGTGCAAAAGTAATTGCAGTAATTGCTGCAAAAGGGGCCCAAACCAAGTACTGAGTACATATGCATGCTTGTACTTTTCAGAGGTCCGATATTGTTCTATGTACAATCCTTGTTTTATTGATTGCATGTAATAATCTACTATTTTGACGTTGTGGATTTGGGGTTTTTGGGGTTTTCATGAGCTGTAAGCCATAATCATCACAATGATGACAAATCACGGCTTGAACTATCTTGCTTTGCATGTAATGAGTCTATCTCATATATTAGTTTCACCTTTTAAGTTGCATTAGTGAAATAAATGAACTTTGCACGATATTCTAATTATTCGAGTTTCACCTGTATATAAGCACAACCTTTATATCAAGGCAGCCATCCCCTGCATATACTGTCTATGTGGCACATATACTGGGGGTTGGGACAACAAAGTCATTTTGACAATTTTGTTCCAATGCCAGCACAATGAATTGGAACCTGTGAGCATATATGGGAGCATCCACTGATGATTTGGCTTTTTAAAATGTCCATGCTCTGTGCACCTTGATCCTGGGCCTTACACTCTAGCGAGTCAAGCATGCAGCACAGACATTCAGGTTTCACTGGTGGCATGCATGTTCTTAGTCATTTACTAGGTAGTAAAGCCAGGATCAGGATGACAGCCACAAAGCTTGTACCCAGTCATCAGTGGCAGCTCATATACTACAGGCTTCTTCTAATATAACCTTCACAAGTCTCCTCTGAGAGCCACCAGACACTTTGAAGGTGCTGGTAACACCACTTCTAACAGCAAGAGAACGGGATTACAAAATTAGAAGCCAACTTTTTTTCTTTTGCATTTTTAAATCAATTTGCCTGCCGTGATATTTTATATTTTACCCAAAAATTGGGCATTATAGTCTGTTTCTGTTCACTAAATTTCATTTTAGTGTATTTTATCCTAAAAATACTGGTTTGATAAACATTTGCGCAAATACCGTGTGACCTAACAAATTGCAACTAGCATTTCTCTATTCTACAGGGTCTCTGCTTTCAGAAAATATATCACTGATTGGGAGATTGAAGCTGTTTTCTAGCCAAAAATTCAATTTGATCATGTGTGTGGAAATAGTAAGAAATTGCTCCACACAGCAAGTAGTTGTGGTAAACATAACTCCTCCCCCCCCCCCTTATAGAAAAGGAAAGCTAGTAAAGTGCATAAGCAGAAGCTATCAAATATTTTGTTTTAAGTTATACTGTTTTAATGGGAACATGTAACAAATATAAAGTATGTGTTATCTCAATCTGGCTGCAGAAGTGGAAATACACTTGAAGCCACTGGATCAGTATGACAGCCAGGGTAGTAGCATGTTCAGAAGTGGACAGAGATCAAGCACTGTACCTCTTCCAGCTTCTTGGCATTCCCGGTCACAAACACTATGCTTCTAGCAGCCATCTCCTGTACCTGTGTATGTGTGATGACAGGATCTGAACTTGAAGCATGCAACCGGCTCCAGCTCCTTCCCACCCCCTGGCCAATAGGAGCTCTGTACAGCCCATCCTACCAATTACAATCCAGGAGGAAGACACTATGACCCGGAAGTACTTGTCTCCCTGCTAGAACACATGCTGCCACTGTTTCCGTACACCAGAATCACCAGTGACTGAACTATAATGTTTGCGCGGATATTGTTACTGTCCGTCCGCCTGTCACTTACAGCCAGGTTCACTGGAAATGTGAAAACTATGAACTACCACAAGGTGTCGCTGTAGCCCACAATAACACACGAGAGCGCTACGCTATACATCTTGTTACTATCGATTCCTAAGGACCAATGTCTAGCGCTGTCCGATTTTATTCCCCGCCCCCTAGCCAATGCAAAAGTTTTCCTGGGAAACATTTGGCCAATCAGGAACCTGATACTGATGACCCGGAAGCATTGACTGTGTGCGGTTCCATGTGACAGATACATGGTTTGAAGGAGGGGGTGATGGTGGGAAGATGGATCTGTTACCAAAGAGCAGCAAGGAGTTCTCTTCCAGCGAGTACTGGGAGCAGTTCTTCAGGCGGAGGGGGGAGCAGGCCTTTGAGTGGTATGGAGGGTACTTGGAGCTGTGTGGATTGCTGCACAAATATATTAAACCCAAAGACAAGGTGGGCGCCATAGACTGTAGTGTTCATTCTTTCCTTAGGCTGGCTTTCTTGTATAGTCTCTGCATTGGGACGGTTTTGTTGCAGCAGTATGGAAGTCTGTGGACCAATTTACACAGCTGTGTCTGAAAGAGTAATGTTGTGCAGCCTTCAAAAATAAAGAATAGGACCAGGCTGCGGGGACCATAAATGTAATTATTTAGGCATTTTATAGGCAATGTTGCCATCATACTGCAGTTCAAAACTAGAGCAGACATAATCTGGAGCAGATTTGCACTGCAGCCAATCAGCTTCTCTCTCATTTTCAAATCTTACCTGGGCAAACTGAAGAGAGAAGCTGATTGGTTGCCATGGGCAACTGCTCCAGATTCTGTTTGCTCCAGCTTTGATAAATTCCCCCCAGTGTGTTTACAGTGTATTTCTCAGCAAAGCATTATTGGACAAATTCTTGTCCACTAGCTGTGCTTAATACTTGTGAGTTACAGACCTGGTGTAAACATGTAGTAAATGACTGTCCAAAGGGTGTTGGAGAATTCCTTATCTCTATACTTCTTCCAGGCCAGTGACCTCAAAATGTATAAAAACAAAAGTTTAATTGACCCATGACCCTGATCATTGAATTGCTTGCTTTAGTTGGGCCATGTAGGAGTTAACTAGAGAGCTTTGCTAAGTGTCAGAAGAACTCATTAGAAGAAGATAGTAAGAGGTCTTGATCTGTGCCAGGTTTTATATAACTGGTTTGTACATTTTGCTTCTTTCAGGTATTGGTGGTGGGCTGTGGCAACTCAGAGTTAAGTGAAAGGCTCTACGATGCCGGATGCCAGAATCTGACCAATATTGATGTGAGTGAGGTAGCTATTCGTCAGATGAACGAGCGCAATGCCAAACGACGGCCTATGATGACGTACCAGTTGATGGATGCCACAGAGACTACATTTCCCGAGTCCCATTTTCAGGCCGTGTTGGATAAGGGGACATTAGATGCCATACTCCCTAATACAGAAGAAAGAACTCTGGAAACTGCTACTAAATTGCTGGTTGAAATTGGTCGTGTTTTGCAGTGCGGTGGACGATATATGTGTGTATCCCTGGCCCAAGGCCATGTGTTGGACAAACTAGTAAATCAGTTCTCCCAAGGTGGATGGATGGTTCGAGTTCATCAAGTATCGGAGGGCAGTAGCAATGAGTCTGGCAGTCAGTTTCCTCTACCAGTGTTTTTTTTTGTCATGACCAAAGTGCGTCAGATGCCAGGCTTTCCACAGGTCTTGGAAATGATGTCTGATAAGGAGGGTGCCAAACCACTGCGTTGTTCAAGCCCTGATGAACTTTTGGAAGCAGTGAAAGAACGGCAGCATTACTCGCTGATCCGAAACCGCCTGAACCAAAATCAGAATTCTCAGGAAGTGTCATTAGACTTGTGTGATGGAGAGTCTGGTAGAACTCGGTATACCTTTTATGTGCTAGATAGTCCTACAGTACGGTCATCTCATGCCAATCAGTTTGCTATATTCATAGGTACTTTTTTCTATATAATTGTTAAAGGCACTGTTTTCTATTTTTATATGCAGTTTACTGGCTGTGATATTTTTAAGTCAAAGTCAGGATACCCCAGGAAACCCATCTCCAGAATACTGTTAACTTTACCCCGCTGGGCAATGTATATATTTGATTGATCTGGATTCATTTTAGAATAAATGCTTGAGAGTTTAACACTACTTTAACCAGTTGACATCCGCTGTGTTAAACCCCCTTCACATCCAGGCCATTTTTCATGTATTCAGCGCTGCGGTACTTTCACTGACATTTATTCCGTCATGCAACGCTGTACTGAAATGAATTTTATACCCTTTTGTGAGGACAGATAGAGCTTTCTTTTGGTGGTATTTATTCACCACTGGGGTTTTTATTTTTTTTACTATATTAAGGAAAAATTACCGAAATTTTATTAAAAATCGCGAACGAGCACATATAGGCGATCGGCGGGCTATGGACCCGCTGATCGCCTATATGTGAAACACCCGGTAACGGGTGTGTTTAACGGTCGGGTCTTTTCTGCCCGTGCGTGCCCGCTAGGGGGCGCGCGCGAGCAGAAAAAAAATGCAACATTGCAACCCGCAAATGCAGCAGTGCCGTCCGTCTGTTTTTTTACTACGGGCGGACGGCAAGAGGTTAAGCACTTGTGGACCGGCACTTTAAAGTTGAACTCCAGGTAATTAAACTGTTTATATATACTTACATTGGTTCAGCTAGGCCCAATGTGTGTATACATATTTCATACCTGGTAGAGCTACAGGGATCCAGTACAACACTGTAGTAGTGAGCTACTATGCTGCTTTACAGCGATCTTCTGGGTCCTGGTACTACACTGTGCTCAGCAACTTCATCTCTGCTGTGAAAATATAGGAGGTCGCTGCTTGGAACAGTGGCCATTCACAGAAAGCCATGTATTTCTACCAATGTATACTAGGTGTTCTCTGATTGAATGAGGGGCAGTAACGACTTAAAACTAGAACCAGAAACTCTTGCATGTCAAGAAACCACTGCTTTGTGACATGTGACATTGCCAAAGCAAGGCTAGATGTAAAATCAAATAAGGACAATAAAGCTGTACATCCACCCCTCCTTCCCATGGAGAATAATAAAATCATGCAACAAGGAAGAAGATAATTTACACTGTAAAGCATCTTTTCATATTTTTTGTTACTGAAGTTACATTTGAGCTCCTTTTTTCCAGTCCCCCAGGGACGAGAAACGGAATGGCTGTTTGGTTCTGAACCTGGACGGAGACAATTGGCAGGGAGTATTGGGTTCCGGCGTCTGATAATCGTGGCCTTGCACAGGGATCAGCACTTTGAAAGCATGGAAGCTATTCAGACAGAGCTGTCTGCTAAAGTTCTAGAACTAGCTCCATCAGGATTGGCAGATAACCAGCAGGTACAATTGTGTGTTGCCACCACTATGTAGCCCATTGAATTTAAGTTCTTAAATCATTTCCAGGAAGCGCATTCTGAGCGAAATAAGGAGGCTGCTATATAGTAGCTATGTTCTGAAAAAGATGTTTGCTGAGCTTTCATTGTAATCCTTAGGTGAATACACATGCAGGAATTGGCCTTCACTACTATAGGATGTCAGAGAAAAATGAACGGTTGCATATTTAATAGAGAACACATTTGATGTATTTTACATTTGGGGTGATTTAATTGGAGTTTCAAAGTTCAAATATACAATTCCACTGTACTGTCTTTGTTGCCGGCTCCTCACCTCACATCTGTATATTAGGAACAGGTACAGAGTCTGTGAATGACTTCTTATGGATCAAGATCATAGATCTATAATAGCGAGTCTGATGGCCTAACTCGACACCAGTGGATAAGGTTTGGTGCTAAGCCTTCCTAGTGCAAGAGCACTATGGCAGCTCAGAGAATGCAGACAAAGGGTCATGTCAACTGCTCATGCCCTACATTTATCTTGCTTTTTTCTGATTGACTATTTAATCCCCATTTGAAGTCTTCACATTGCACATTGTTAAAGTCGATAATTCTTTCCAGATCCCATTTCTATCAGCTGGCGGAGACATTGGAACTCGAACAGTGAAGTTTCGTGGACGGAGTGAACTGAGTGGGGAATTCGTTGTTGAGGATGCACGAGGGGATGGAACCAGTTACTTCAGGCGTCTTATATTCCTCAGTAACCAAAATGTGGTGCAGTCCGAGGCCAGACTACTGCCGAGTTCGACCCACAGAGGTAAGGGACACGATGCTTGTTTTGTTTTTTGGATCATGTGAGATTAAAATGTTTGTTTCACTTTCACAAAAATTGTCTTTTTATCATTTTCTACTTTGTATTCCCTGCTTTCTAACATATTTGTACTTTTCTACCCCAAATTGGTAACAGTCTTCTCACTGGAAGAGCAATTTCTTATAACATCGCCAAAGGCTTTTTCTGCACTTGGCACTCCTAGGCTAGACCCTACAGAGCGGGTATGGTAAAGGTGTGGCAGCAATAGAGCACTTTTTCTTTTTTTTTCATTAGTATTAACTTTTTGATATTTCTTCTTATCTTGTCACTTTTCAACCTCGGAGAGTAGTTTCTGCAACAGAACTTCCAAGTAGAATGATGGAGCTGCTAAGAGGAGGTATCACACAAATCTCTGTAGGGTTCACCCTAAAATCTCTGCAGGGTGTTTATTGGTGCCCTGCATAGTCCAGTTGCAGCTGCATATTAAGCAAATAGTAAGGCTTCAATAGCACATCGTGGTTCTCATTCTCCTAATAAGTATGTGATGGTGACAAGTAGAGTGAAACTTTTTTGAAAACTCATCATTCACCTGTTACTATGCCAGCATTAGGGATATACCGATACTAGTATCGGTGCCAATGCCGAGTATTTTGGCGAGTACTCGTACTTGCCCAAATGCTCCGATGCCTAGCCCGATACTTCCTGTATCACTTGTGACGAGAGAACATGGAGCCAGCTTCCCGACCAATCAGGAAGCCGGGTGCCGCGTCATTACACGGCGCCCGCCTTCCTGATTGGCCAGAAAGCCGACTCCATGTTTTCTCGTCACATAGTGACGAGAAGCATGGGGACGGCTTCCCTTCAAATCGGGAAGGCGGGTTGCAAGTCTTTACATGCCTCACGGCTATCAGGAAGCCAGGGTATCGGTATTTGGTATCAACGAGTACCGGGAAAAAAAAATTACGGTACTCGATACCGATAAATTGTGCCGGGGTCCGCCCAGCTGCACGAGTGACAGCTGGCTCTGCCTATCTAAAGGCAGAGCCAGCTGTCCCCTCCCCCGTCCGTTCCGCCAGTCAGCGCTGGCGGAGGGGGGAATCCAGCCCCTCCCCTGTCACGGCAGAGAGCCGTAACAGGATCGAGAGGTGAGCGAACGCCGGTAAGTGCTCACCTCCCGATCTACTGAGCCGACCTGTGACAGTTTCATTGTCACAGGTTGGCTAGAACTATGAGGTGAGTGAAAAGCACTCACCTCATAGTTCTCCTTTTTAAATTCAATTTTCATAAATGACAGGAAGTATTAGAGTGTAGAACTAATGCTACAAATCATATTTGCCCATTTAGTGCTTTAAGAGAAATGAATCAGAATCAAAATATTTGTATAGGTTGACTATACTGTGGGCTTGTAAGGTCATATAGTATTTCATGCCAGCATCTTGCCCCGTATACTTGCACATACGTTTTTAACATTTTCTTTCTGATAGGTCAGAAAAAGAAGAAAAAAGACAAGAAGAAGCAGCAGCAGCCAGCAGACAAAGAAGAGTCTCCGTCATCACTTATTATTGACAAAAGCTACTTGAGCTGTGAACATCATAAAATAATGATCTCAGGACTGGCACTCCTCCACAATCCAGGAGTACTTCCAGGTATTCCTTTTACATTTGTTTTTGAATGACACAGGTACATTTCCATTTAGCAAGCCCTCAACAAGTCTGTTCGTATACAGTTCGATAAATGGAAATATTTCACATCAATGCAGTCTAGGGGTAAGGTGTTTCAGCATGTAAGGCTCTAAATCATAGTGGCAGATATTGCAGTAAAACCATGAACCTCACCCTGTCAGGGGCCCTTCCTCTTTTTAATGTCAATGTAGAACTGGATTTTTTCATGCATAACAGGCAAGTACTAATAAAAACAACATACGTCTTTTTTACTGTAACACGTGTATAGAGCTAGGGTTGAGAGCCTTGTGTGGTCCGAAATGTGTCAGATCTGGACTACATGTATGTGACACCTTTGCTAATTAAGGAATTGCATATAGATAGATGTGTTGCCAGCTTGGTCACATTCACACTAAGAGGCATGTATGCTTTTTTTTTTTTTTTTCCTTGTGGCGCCATATTTAGAAGTCTCAGAAATGCTGCACGGGTTGAGCGGGTTTTTGCTGTTTAGACTTCCAGCATGCTGATGTTTCATTTTATTGGCTTTCTGTGTTGGTATATATTGTTTCTCAGACTATAAAAAATATTATGCCCTGTACTGTAAACTAAGAATGAAAATAAAAACTTTTGAAACACGGCTAGATTTCTACTATGCATGATCGCACACAAAACTGATTTTATGTATATTTAAGTCTTTGTTTTCTTTATACAGATCACCACATATCTGTATTGGTGGTAGGACTGGGAGGAGGCAGCTTATCCCTTTTTATTCATGACTATTTCTTGGGTTCACGGGTCGAGGCCATTGAAATTGACCCTTCTGTACTGGATGTGGCTAGCAGTTGGTTTGGCTTCAGTCAAGATGAGCGCATGAAGGTTCATTTAGCTGATGGATTGGTTTACATCAATGGCCTGGCAGGGAAAGGTAAGTTGATATCCCTCCTTGTTTAATTTTCTATGTATATTTAGAGAGCAAATTTGTTATCGAGGCTTAAAAAACAATCAAATGTTTCCTTTCTTTGCAACTCTGCTTTTCCTCCATAGTTTATTAAGTATTAAATGAATGATTTTATAAAAACTGATATACAAGCAGTAATGGCTTTCTTGTGTAAAATGCGTGAAAGAACCTTTATTTTTTTACCATAGGAACAGAATTGTTTCTTGATGTAACAAGGGGCAGCTAGAAATTTGTTCAGCAGTAGGGTTGTTTTCCTTTAACCCTTGGGCTGCCAAGAATGTGTTACATGCCATAGTTGTATCCTAGGCTGCCAATGACATGTATTATGTAATGCCAATCAAATGGTTAAAACAGGCTCACAGCTGCAAAGGTCTTTCTGTTCATTGTAGAAATGATCCGGCTGCAAGAATAATACTTATTTTCAGGGCCTTATTTTAGTATGGTCCTAAATTGATGTAATAAGTACTTACAGTATTGCATGTCTTTAGATTTTCACTGTTTCACAAAAAATGCACCGATACCAAGTACCGTACTCGATACAGGTACAGATACTTTTCGAGCTCCAAGACTAAACTAGAGAAAAAGTTAGGAGGCAGCTTTCATTTGTAAGGAGCACACGGAGTTCCTAGAAATTGTACATCTCTGTTTTAATGTATGATGCGCCGATACCATTTTTGCAAGTACTGATACTTGCCAAAGTACTCACAGATACAAGTACTGATACATTATTGTTTGTCACGTGACAGTTTTTCTAAAGCAATACAGACTAATGATTTCAGGACAGTGGTGGAGAGCCACAGCCAGGTCTGACAGGCTTACTAGCATTTCATGGTCTGACCATAAACAAATGGATCAGGTAAATGTTCTTTGATGCCTATAGACAAATCACAGAAAGTTAAACATTAGATTACGACCAAAACAAAAATTATGTATGATTCCTCAAAGCCCCTTTATGTGATTAGGTCTAAAACTTCTCAACACGTGCTGTATTTTTAAGATGAATTGTCAACTTTCATCACAATCTGTAACAAAGCTGATCTCTAGGTTTATGTACTTTCTTCACAGAAAAAGCCGTTTATGATGTGGTAATGTTTGATGTGGACAGTAAAGACACATGTGTCGGCATGAGCTGTCCACCACCTGCTTTTGTGGAGAAAAACTTTCTTCAAAATGTGCACAAAATCCTAAAGAATAATGGTGAGGAGAACAATAATATATTTATGTGTGTTTTGTGTGTTCACATTTTTGGAGACTGAGAATAAAAAGGTTTTTCTGGTGGGGAAAAAGAAAGATTTCTTCATTGATTTAGAGATGTTTGCATTTAAAAAAATGTAAACTTTTAATGATTGTGCTTGCACGGTAATTGTTACATGGGCCAATTATTGCAAGCAGTGATGGGATAGGTTGCATTGCTCTGACAAATCAATAGCTGACACATGTACCGTGTTTCCTTGAAAATAATACACTGTCTTATATTTTTTTTTGCCCCCAAAATCACACTAGGTCTTATTTTCAGGGATCTTCTTTCTTTCTTTCTTTCTTTCTTCTCCCCAAAGTTATTCATGTACAACAATCCAAAGTTATCTGGTATCACTCCGCCTGTCACAGTAACTGGCGCTATAGAGGAAGTATCTGCTAATGCGGCTCTGCCCCCTCCGCCGCCACAGCCTTGCTTTCTACAGCGCTGGCATGCTTTGCCATCAGGGACAGTGGTACAAGCAGTGCAGCAGTGGGGACATCAGACAGTGGACAGTGCGGTAAAGTATGGTACCATTTACTGGTGCACATTACAGTACCATTACATTAAGCAGTGCCTTCAGGGGGACAGCATTTGGTGAAGTATGGTACTGGAGTACTCATTGTCACTGCACTGGCCGAAGGGAGTCCCCTGCCATCCCCTTAATACAGTATGCCCCTGCAGGCTGATACCATCTCTCCCAGTTCCCCCTCACATGCTACCACCAAACTAGGTCTTATATTACAGGAATCTTGAATAATAATGCTAGGTCTTACTTTCAAGGTAGGTCTTATTTTCGGGGAAACAGGGTAAAAGAATTACATCCTTTCTTGCTTGTTCAAAGTTATACTGCAGTGAAGCATAACAATGTGACTTTAAATTATGTGCATAGCTTTCCTGTTGAATAACTCTCATTCATCATTCATCTTCATCATCATCACAAGGCTTTACTAAAAATCTCTAACTGTTCTCATTTTCTGAATGGTATTGAATCAGAGCTTTCAAAAATGCAACCTGGTGTTTTTACTTATTCAGAAAATCCAAGAATGTCACCAGCACACCAATGATCAAGTGATCTTTCACTTGATCATTGGTGTGCTGGTGAAATTTTTGGATTTATTGTATACTGCACGGTGCCACCCGTGGTCACTACAAGCACCCACCTGGATTTCACAAGATTACTTAAAAACCGGTAAGAAGTGCAGCGAGTCTCGACTATATTTTACTTATTCAGGTACCCCTTCACTATGTGTCCATTGCAGCCTTACCTACGCACAATGAGGGGACAATTATCAAAACTGGAGCTGGCAGAATTTGGAGCAGTTGTTTATGGCGCTGGTGGAACAGGGAGGGGGAATCCCTGTGTGAGCTTTGACTGACGGTCACCACTCTCTGCAGGGAAAAGCTGCGAGCTAAGCATTCCGCAGTTTGTGATCGCTCAGTTCTCCAGCAATAGAGCCAGTGTGTGGACGCTGCAGTGTCACACCTCAGCTCAAACTATTGGGGAGGGTACATTTTACTTTCCCAATAGTTCTCCTTTTAACTGAACAAACTAAAGAGAGAAGCTCATTGGTTACTCTGGGTAACTGCTCAGATTCTGTCTGCTCCCATTTTTTTTTATACATTTCCCCCCCATTGTATCGTGATACAAGAGGCAGTCCTACCAGAGCCACAATAAAATACTGGATAAATCTGACAGAAAAGGCTCATATAATTCCATAGTATAGGTGATGTAACTGAGCTTTCTGGCATCATTTGAAAGAATAAAGCTTTCCTGGTCAGTTCTACTATCTGAGTGTGCAGTGTACCAGCAGAGTTTACATAACTCTCACCGATGTGCAAACCCTTGGTCTTCACCAGAAGGATGTTATGCTGCTTAGTCATCAGGGCATTTGAGAAAGCCAAGATGTGGACATCTGACTTGTCTGAGGAAACCAAAATCAGTCCAATGCGTAGAGTAGAAAGCTGAAACCCCTTGGAAAAGACACCGGCTGAATGCACTGACCTCTTGTTAAACATAGCCTGTTGCTTAGAACCAGGTTTTCAGCTTGCAGTGTGACTAGGCTGTAGTACCGAGGAATGACCAGCAGATGGTGGAGTTGGCCATGTGGTGGCTAACCTTCCCACACCCAGCAGAAGAGGGAAAGCAACTACTGTATCTGTGAGTGACCCCTCTGCTGGTGTGCAGCTGCTGGCAGATTACCACCACATGTTCAAGCAGAAACTCGCTAGGCTTTCCATGGTCCACATCCTGATAATAATTTATTGGTACCACAACATGATAGCACACCAGGGGAGTGTTCAGATGCCCAGCCCTTGCAAGTGCTGAGTTAGCAAACTGCCACTGAACACAGTGCTGCAAGTCAGCACTCAACACTGCTAACTTAGCAATCACAGCGGACATGAATGTGTATGCAGAGCAGAGTGTGACGGAGGTGGGGACAGAGCATCAGTGGCCATTTTAACTGTGGGCACACCTGGCAGTGCTGGAGAAAAGTGCCTGAACCCTGATGAAGGAAATCAATTCAGTGTGGGAACCTACAATTTAATGTTTTGTTGGAGGAGCACACCAAATATTCCCTGGAAAATGGTATTAATCACAAATATTATCCTCCGCCATTTTGCTTAGCACTGTGCAGCCAAAGCGTTCAGTGCAGCAAACTGAAGTGCTGCAGAACAGCTACTCCGCGCTTGGCTAAGGAACTGAACGCGCCTCAGTCACACCAAACCAACAGACAATGGGGTAATCCCAAAAGGTGTACTTGCACCCACAATATGTTTTCCCTTTCTTTTACATTAGCACAGGTGCAGTGTTTTCTGGATAACAATCACAATTTTCTCATTCCTTTTCCCTGTTGCTTAAAGCTGTTTAAAAAAAATACCTTTTCCACACATTATAGTAAAGTAGGCTATACACTGTGCGAATCAAGAATCGGCTGAAATTTGCACAGTGGGTGCTCCTTTCGCCACCCTTCCACCCGGGATCCCTTAAAGGAGAACTATGAGATGAGTGATTTCCACTCACCTCATAGTTCTAGCCGACCTGTGACAATGAGACTGTCACAGGTAGATCGGGAGGTGAGCGAACACATACCAGGTTCGCTCACCTCTCGATCCTGTCACGGCTCTCTGCTGTGACAGGGGGAGGGGCTGGATTCCCTCTCCCCGCTCCGATCTGCCAGCGCTGACTGGCGGAACGGACAGTGAAGGGGGTGGGTACAGCTGGCTCTGCCTCTAGATAGGCAGAGCCAGCTGTCACTCACGCAGCTGGGCGGATCCCGTCATCTACGTCGGGATCCACTCCGGCTGTGGCATCTCAGTATACTGCGAGCTGTAGCTCCCGGTATACTGAGCTTAGGGTAACGGGAGGAAGCTAGTTTGTTATATTTTCTTCGATCAGCTTGCAGGCTGAACAAAGAAAATATAATTGTGTATACCCAGCTTAAGCTCCATATTGTGGATCATACACAGATTTGTGTTCTGCTAAGTTTGTATACAAAGGGTTTTTCTTGCTTTTACCTGATATAAACACTTTTTCTTGCAGGGATCTTTATTTTGAATCTGGTGTGCCGTGATGCTGTTTTGAAGAGACAGGTGATGAGTGTCATTCATGAGGTTTTCCCTCTGATTTATGCCAAAAAGATTGAGGATGAAGTGAATGAAATCCTTTTTTGTTGCCCCAATACTGAACGGAAAATCAACCCAACAGATCTAATGGAATCAGCTAAACACTTGGAGAAAACATTAAAGAGGCCTGGAGCTCTCTGGGATGAGACCTACATCCTGGCTGACATGTTCAAGTCCATACAAATAGTTTGAAAGCTCAGCAATCTTTTAAGCACAGGAAGAACACTGAACAGGTTTCATGGACGATCTACATCGTCAGAGAAAAGACAACAATGACTAGTATGAGCAACAGTTGAAGAGACATGTAACATATATACCAGGGGCGCCCACAATTTTTCATCTGCTTTTCAAATGACGAGCTCAATGAGATCTACCAACTAAAAAACACCTGCGTTCAGGGGCGTGGCGGTGCATTGAAGTCAATGGCACCGCAGCCACGCCCCCTGCGCGATCGCCCGCACCCAGAACGCAGGCACAGTAGTGTCTGCGCTCCGGTCCAGTGTGAGCTGCAGAAATTCTGCAAGCACTATTTTTTGCAGATCACACTGGACTGGAACGCAGGCTCTAATGTGCTTGCGTTCCGTGTGCGGGCTATCGCACTGTGGGCGCAGTGCCATTGACTTCAATGCACCGCCACACCCGTGAACGCAGGGAGCTGGCTGGCTTGCGTTCCAGGGCGTTCTAGAGGCAGAACACTCTAGAATGCAGACTTTGTGGTGTGACCCGGCCCTCTCTCTTGGCTGTCTCTTCTTTCTCTCTATTCTCGCACTCTCCCCTGTTTCTAGCTACTGTCTCTTCTCTCACTTTCTCTGCAGTCTCTCTTCTCTCTCCTGTCTGTATTTTCTTACCTCCACTACAGCAGCTTCCCAGGTCTCCTCTCGTGCGCCGGCGTCCTGTCCTCCCGCGGTGCTCGTGTGGCCGACGTTGCACACGGGGCGAGGTGTCCCGCCCCTTCCCGGCTGCGGCATCTGACACATTTAGCCGCACTAGCAGCGCGGGAGGGAGCTGATCGCGATCTACCAGTGTTCGCTTTGCGATCGACTGGTAGATCGCGATTGACCTAATGGACACCCCTGATATATAGTGTAGTTTCTGCACCATACTTTTTATACTTTAGTGTTAAAGAAGAACTGAACTCTGGAAGCAGTGGCCAAAAATGGGCAAATGATTAATCACCAATATTGCCTATTATGGTCACCATAGAGCTGATCTTTTCCCCATTACAGACTAGACATGCTTTGTTCTCCACTGTATATTTGTGTGTACATGGCCATCTTGGTAGAGGCAGGGTTTTGCTTCCCCATGTCAGAGTTGCCCGTCTGGTGGGTGGTGGAGATATAATTAAGAAGCAACAGGAGAGGTTCACAAAGCAGTGATCCACAGACTGAATGAAACGCAAACAGGGAGATGCATGCAGTGCAGATTTCTCTCCAGCAAGCAGCACTGGAATGACACCACACAATCTCCTGAGCCTAGCAATCACAGGCAACAATGCCTTGAGATGATATCAAACTGCAGATATACAGATATGAGGCTGTAGGCCCAGGAGTGCCTAGGCACACTCATATGCCAGAAAAAGTTATTGCTATTTTAGGAGGAAGACAAAAGTTACATGCTTAGGCCTCAACTGTGAAATGTAATTGCTGCTAATGTTATTGGCACTTTGTTGTTTCCTGCAGCTTTTCTCTTACTACCAGCCTGGGTCTGATGATGTAATTTTTGCAGGACGCCCATCCCACTTGGCACTCATGGAGTAGGACATGAGTAGAATACTTGTATGAGTTCCAATGCAAGTTGTTCTTCTTTATATAACTAAATAAAGACTAAATATAACTAAAGTTAACAGATAATCCACTGCAATGTTTTACATATGCCTTGTTGCAAATGATCTGTTAAAGTAAATTCAGCTTAAGCCAGTAGCTCCCAACCTGGGGTACATGGCAGGATGTTTAGGGGTACATACAATAAAATTCAGCAATGGTGACCCCAAGAGAGGGACCACTCAGCGATCCAACATTATGGCTTGCTAGGGTGCAGACGGCTTGGCTGCACAGTGTCGTGCGGTTTCAAGTTACAGATGGCCTGGCTTGCTATATCTGAGTACAGTAGCTGTAATGTCAGGAGAGTGCTGGGGAGGAATAGGAGGAGTTGAATACATTGAGAAATGAGTGGAAGAAGCACAGGCTGCAGGTTGCACACACTGGAGAAGAAATGGAGCTCAGCAATACTGCTTCACAGCTGAACAAATGTCAGTATCCTTCTGCCTATTATTTCAAACGAACTTGTGCTAATGGAAATAGTAAATATGTAAAAATAGTAAAAACTAGACTAAAAATTAAAAATAAATAGTATGACCCCGGAACTATAATTGCATAATTCTTAAAACCGAAGGGAAACGGAAAGCTGCTGAACTCAGGCTATATGCCGCCAGAATAATGATGCAATCAAAGGTACAGCGCTAAACACCCTTCAGGAAATTCGATAACGGCAAGGATCAGATTGATACCACCTCAGTGTAAGGCAATCATAAGAAACATGTGTCTAAATATATGTATAAACTAATTGTGATGGCCTGGCTTGCTATATCTGAGTACAGTAGCTGTAATGGCAGGAGAGTGCTGGGGAGGAAGAGGAGGAGTTGAATACATTGAGAAATGAAAGAAAGAAGCAGAGGCTGCAGGTTGCACACACTGGAGAAGAAATGGAGCTCAGCAATACTGCTTCACAGCAGAACAAATGTCAGTATCCTTCTGCCTATTAAATATGGTTCTGTGTAGGGATGTTCAGATACCAAGTACCGTACTCGGTACAAGTACAAGTACAAATACTTTTCCAGGACTAGACTAGAGAAAAATTCACAAGTTAGGAGGCAGCTGTCATTTTTAAGGAGCATACGGAGCTCCTGGGATTTGTGAATCCCTGTTTTAATGCATGATATTTTTAAATAAATATATACAAGTGATGCACCAATACCATTTCTGGACAAGTACTAGTACTGATACTTGTCCAAGTACTCACAGACACAAGTACTGATACATTTTTGTTTATTGTCATGTGACAGTTTTTCTAAAACAATACAGACTAATGATTTCAGGACAGTGGTGGAGCGCCAGAGCCCGGTCCCAGCTGCAACCTCTGCATCTTGGTAGTTCTTGTGAAAATGACAAGTATCGGCACTGGTATCTGGATATCCCTAGTTCTGTGTATAAGCTCTGCCTCCAATCTGCTTGCTACTCCACTCTTTTGTCCTGGGGGAACGGCACAATTTATGAAAATGGGCTGCCAAGGGTTCACTAGTGAAATAAAGGTTGGGAACCTCTGGCTTAGGACCCTGTGTTGACAGACTTTGGTTCACTTCAAGAAGCATGTAAAATGCAGGTCAGAAGGAGGTAACCTGCCGGTCAAATGTACATGTCAGTGAATTCTGAATGAGCTCAGAAGCGTCTCAAGCTGATGTCAAACTGATGCCATCAACACAAGCCCAAAGCCAATTGACACCGTCCTTTTCTGAATCTGTCTCTTTGGTTAGGATATCAGGGGTCAGAGGTCACCAGAACTGCCTTATCAAACGTTCATTCCCAGATCCTGAGAGTGCATTACATATTGGTCTTCGCTGAGAACGTAGACCAATATGGAACTTAGTGATTGGGCAATGTTATGCACTCAGCAGTTGGTAGACCCTATGTGAGGTCAGGAAGCTGAAATGCCAGCAGCTGTCCGAGTGCCATCTCACACATGACAACGTCAGTGACCTAGGTGAGGAAGAAATATAACATTTTCATATACAAGCCTGAAAAACATACTAATGTAAAACTGAATATTATAGTTCTGGAAAAAGCCCAATTGCATCTGGTCCTCTTTAGGTGTTCATGTCCGTATCCCCTTTGGCAGTATTCAGCCCCACTATCTTTGCTGGTGACATTGGGAAGTCCAAAATGTGACAGCTGCCAAATGAACAATAGTGGAAGTGAAAAGGGGAGCAATGTTTTTTTTTTAGTTCCTGTGTCATGTGCCTGAGACAGGAAGTGTGGGAAATCTATGATTGGGGGTCGTAGGCTGCACTAAAAATCTGATCGAGGTTCTTCTAATACTTCCCCACTCTATCCATCATTGCTTCCAAATGTTCCCAAATTGTACTTATACTACAGAAGGATAAAATCCCTGTGCTAAAAGAAATGTATGGTTCGCACAAAACTATGACAGCTCCTTTGGAGATGTTTTTATTACATAGACTATGTGAGTACTTATATTGATATATTTAAACGGTGTATATTGTGTTGAGGCGGACATGTTGTTGTGCAGCATACTTATTAAACTGTGTGTAATAATAAATACTAATACAAAGTATGTATTTTAGATGAGCTCTAGGGCAGTGCCGTCACAAGGGGGGTGCGGCCTGAACCCGGGTGACACTATTGGAGGGGTGACACCAAAATGACCGACAGTCATTTTGGTGTCACCCCCTCTAAAAAGTTGGGCACTTGGTCATGGACTGAGAGCCCGACGGTGTCAGGAGAGAGGAGGGGAACCGGCGGCATACCTCATCCTGCCGGGTGCACGTCCCCTCCTCCCTCTGCCAGCGACCATCACCAAGATGGCCGCCGGCAGGCGTCAATTAGATTATCGTGCATGCGCGGTGACATCACGGCGGGGTGGCCCCTGGTCTCTGCTCTGGGTGACACCCGGTCTCGGGATGCCCCTGCTCTGGAGCCAGAAATGAAATTATCTTTAGTGATTTTCTATTCTGTAAATACTATACATACAGAAGGGAATTTATGAGAACTGGAGCAGCATTGGTGATGGCAACCAATCAGCTTCTCTCTTTCATTTGCAAAGCTTAAATGAACAAACTGAAGAGAGAAGCTGATTGGTTATTATGAGCATCTGCTCCAGTTTTGATAAATTCCCCCCACAGTTTTTAAATATGTTAGATGTATTTAGTAAAAGATTCTTAAATACCCAATTTGCATCCTATAGGCTATCCCTATGGTTCTTCTGGCCAGCTTTTGTTAATTGGAGACAAAAAATAGACCTGACCATTGCCATGCAGGGCAAATTCCCCTCTCCAACAGCACATAGTCCCTTCTTCTTTGCCCTCCCACCTCTCAGTTACCAGCAGGGGAAATCACTCTGTGTAATCTACAGAAGGGTCCCATGATTGGTCCAGTTCTGTTCTATGGAGTGAGGCAAATGCTTCTCTTTACCTGAAATCACAAAGTATTGTCTTTGCCCCCAGCAGCTGAATGGAGCAGCAGCACTTTTCTGCTTTTCTCTGTATATGCACATTTTAGTGAATGTCAGTTCATGAAGCATTTAACACATATTCAGCTAAGGCCTCATTTACACGGAGGGGGCTGGTTGTTGATGCCCCCGGAGCTGTGGGAAGAAGGGTGCAGGGCAGATCATTTAACCCTATGTAGACACATGAGCTGTGCGCTCTCACACGCTGCTTTCCGCAGCTCTGATTGTTGACAGCCAGTGTTGTACGGACGTCCATTCACGATGTATAAAGCAACACACCCCATACTGTTGTTATAACTGCCTGCAATCTTTCTTTATGGTATCTTGTATCACACCTATGGCCTACAGAAATCAGTTCAACAGTAAGCTGCAGGGAGACCATTGCTCATGGTGTGAGAGCAGGAGTCTCTCCAGCAGTCTGACCCATGACCAATAACACTGCAACCAGCAATGCTCGCACTCCCTTCCATCTGCAGTGCTGTCCACCAAAAATGTAATCTGTAGCATCTTACCAGTCCTTTAATGTAGTGGCTGCATCAGTTTTCTTTTTTCAGGCGTTTCTCCTTTTATTTGGAGATTCTGCCAATAACACACTTCCCATCCCATGGTGACAACCCCTTACTGCACTGTATCTATGGAGGAGCAGCGTTGTTACTTTAGGTTGGGCTTCTTATTAGGACTACAAACATCACACCTCTCCTCATCTCCATTATTTAAATGGGGTTGCTTCACAGTTGACAGACTTTCACACACTTTAGACCCCCCAGTCAGATGTGGTGTCTTATACATATGCAGAGCTTTGCACAGTGATTGTTATATTTATATAGAAAAGAATCTGATCTCCAGCCGTCTACAGGAGAGCTGTGTGCGCATGCGTGGTGTGATTCTCTTCCAGCACCAGAGACAGCGGCCAGAGCGGGTCCTGAGAGGAGAGACAAGGAGAGACTTGTATCCGGCGCAGATTATTGCAGCTCTGCTCCTCTATCACAGGGACCCCGGCGACAAGGATAAGAGGCTCCCGATGTCCGACGAAAAACTTCCTCGTGCGATGGGTAACCGGGAGATGCAGGAACTGATCCCGCTGGTGAACCGGCTGCAGGACGCTTTCTGCGCCATCGGGCAGAGCTGCCACCTGGACCTGCCGCAGATCGCTGTGGTGGGCGGGCAGAGCGCGGGGAAGAGCTCAGTGCTGGAGAACTTCGTGGGCAGGTGAGAGGGCGGGGTTATAAGTGCGTGGCGAGGGACAGGAGAGCTTGGTAGGCAGGTGAGAGGGCGCGGCTATAGGTGCGCGGCAAGGAGCAGGAGAGCTTGGTAGACAGGTGAGAGGGCGGGGCTATAGGTGCGCGGTAAGGAGCAGGAGAGCTTCCAAAGCAGGTGAGAAGGCGAGGCTATAGGTGCACGGCGAGGGACAGTAGTGCTTCCAGGACAGGTTAGAGGGCGGGCTTTAGGTACTGGTGAGGGACAGTAGAGCTTCCAGGGCAGGTGAGAGGGCGGGTCTAACTATAGGTGCACGGTGAGGGACAGTAGAGCTTCGAGGGCAGGGCTATACTGTAGGTACATGGTGAGGGACAGTAGAGCTTCCAGGGCAGGTGAGAGGGAAGGGCTATACTGTAGGTACATGGTGAGGGACAGTAGAGCTTCCAGGGCAGGTGAGAGGGTGGAGCTAAAATGGTGTAGGGGTAGGAGGACTTCCTTGGCAGGTGAGAGGGCGAGGTTATGAGGGACATGTGAGCTTTGTGCGTAGGTGAGAGGGCGGGTCTGTAGGTGTGCTATGAGGGACAGGAGAGTTTCATGGGCAGGTGAGAAGACAGGTTATTGGAGCGCCATGAGGGACAGAAGAGGTTTGCAAGGGGGCTATAAGTGCGCAGTGAAGGACAGGATAGCTTCATGGGTAAGTAAAAGGCAAGACTATAGGTGCGCGGTGAGGGACTGGAACGCTTTCTGGGGAGGTGAGAGGGCGGGGCTATAGGTGCGCTGTGAGGGACTGGAGAGCTTTCTAGGGAGGTGAGAGGGCAGGGCTATAGGTGCACAGTGGGAGACAGGAGAGCTTGGTGGGGAGAAGAGAGAACTGTGCTTTAGGTAAGCACCGTTGGGCAGGAGGACTTACTGGGCAGTTGAGAGGACGGGGCTAAAGGGGTGCAGTGAGGGGCAGGAGGACTTTCCTAGGCAGGTGAGTGGGTGAAGCTGTATTGGCATATTGTGTAGCTGAACTCTAACCCTTTGTTGTTCACTGTACATAACTGTGCATTTGTTTCCATGGAGAGCGGGAATGCTGGATGGTGTGGAAAGGTGGGATTTGGAGCTCTTTGTAGCTTGCCTTTTAAAGAGACACTTTGCTCTCTGTCCACCTCTGTTGTTTTCTTTTTTTCAATCCCTCATATATTGTTTGCTGGGTTATCCTCCAACTACATACCCACATGTCCAACCAATCCAGTGTTGTCCTGATCTGATCCAACACCACAAGCTGGGTCCTGCACCGCCATCTTCTCCATTTACATAATCGGGGGGAAGCTGTCTCTTTAGGGTTCTTGCGTGTCTTCTTTAATAAGTTATATGTTCTTGGTTTTTACTATGCCAGTCCACCTTTGTACCAAAAAAAAAAGAACTTCAGGTCCACCTCTGCTGATTGACAGCAGCAGTGGGCGGGTACAATAGCCAGCCTGCTATTGACTATTGATATAGAGGGGACCTGATGGAGAACTGCAGGTCCCCTCTGCTGATTGACAGCAGCAGTGGGTGGGTGCAATAGCTAGTTTGCTATTGGCTATTGCAAATTGAAATAGCCAATAGGAATCTAGCAATGCATTCCTATGCTGTGGTTTTTTTTTTTATTCTGACGCCAGCCAACGGCTCCATGTCAGAATAAAAGAAAAAGCAGTGTTTCTCTCCTGGGCGACCAGGAGCAGGGGGACTCCCGGAGCGCCCGGGAGAGTTAGGCTGTCTGGAGATCAGTGTCCCTGGTTAGCTGGTAACCCTGACAGCCTAAAATAACCGAAAAAAAGAATAGCCATGAGGAGTACCTTTCTGCTAACTTATGGAGAGATCAGGGACGCTGATCTCTCTGCAAGTGGCCGGAGCCAGGCGTAAGATCACGGCTGGCTCCACCCAGCTGTCAGAAGCAGGCGGCCGCTCGGCCAGCTTTCACCTCGGCTCAGGCCACGTTCGGGAGCTGTATGGGCTATAGTGAATAGCCCGTACAGCAGCCCTTCGGTTCTACTGAACCGAAGGGGTCCTGGGACCGAAGCTAGCCGAAGGATCATCCGAAGCTACGGCTAGATCCTTCGGCAGCTTCGTGAATAGACCCCTATTAGTAAGCAGAAGTATACCAAGGGGTATTTCTAAGAACCCTGTTTTTTTTCTCACATTAACCTTGAAGTGGGACTACCCCCGCACTGCAAGGGTTAAGTGTTCATTTTGGTCAAGGGGCGAAAATAAAGAAGTTATACTCACCTGATCCTCGGTCCTGTGGTGGTCAGCATTCACCTCTCTTCCACTCCGCTCTGGCTGTGGTATGTCCTTCGGATTCTCACATTTGATGTACCTACATTAGACATGATGATGTCAGCGGGGCTTAGACCG